AAAAGGTGAAGCACCCACACCTGCCCCCACCCTCATTCGCCCCACTCTGGACCCTTGAGCAAGGCCCTTAACCCCCACCATCTGCTCCTCCGGGTGTCCTTGATAGCAGCTCTCTGCTGTGGTAGCTTGGTGGTCTGTGGTTGTGTCAAGAAGGGCATCCGGCGTAAAAAATAACTGCCATGTCTTCGTGCGACTTAGTTCGTTGTGGCGACCCCTAAAGCAGGGAGCAGCCGAAAGAAGAAGAAAAAAAAACTGCAGGATGTCCAACCCCTGAGCTCTTGGCTTCCAGTAACTGTGGCCCCCTGAGCAATTTATTTGAATAGCCCTGGTCTAGTGGTTCTACACTTAATGCTCCTCAACCTCCTGCCTGAGGGGAGCCTCAGGTAGATGCAAGACGAGGGCCACCTGCATCATGAAGGACCCCACTCACCCAGCACACACACTTTTTGTCCCACTCCCCTCAGGAAGGAGGTTGAGGAGCATTAAGTGTAGAACCACTAGACTGAGGAACAGCTTCTACCCTGAAGCTGTTAGATTCATGAATCTCTAACCAGACAAATGCCACTTTAATTGGTGATATGTCACTTTATCTGTGCTGCTAATTATCCATGCTGCTGATTTCTTGTCTTTAAGCTGCTATATTCATTCCCATCTGCTCATTATTGTGTGTGTGTGTGTGTGTGTGTGTGTGTGTGTGTGTGTGTGTATTTATACTCTTTTGTATTTATTCAATTCAGTTTATTTATATAGCGCCAAATCACAACAAAGTTGTCTCAGGGCACTTTACAGGAACATTCACATATATAAAAGCCAATTAGTAAAGTTCTCTATCTAAGGATTTAGAATTTATTTATTTGTTAATTGTTAGGCTTATTGATCTAGGACCTGAGTCCAAATTTTGTACCATAAACATACAGATGTGAGCTGGTATGACAACAAAAAATCCTTGAATACTTGAATTAGAGACTCATGTTCAGGCTGCTGTTTAATACACTGTATATAGGTCTCTCTTGTAAATGAGTCCTCGAGGCTCAATGGGATTTACCTGTCTAAATAAAGGTTGATTGATATTACATTATTATTGTTTAGTGTATATCTTAAATTCTTGTATACTGTTTCTTTTTATACTTTATACTGTATTTTTGCTATTTTTGGATGTAACTGTGACCTTGAGTACACAATTTCTTCCACCTCATGAACCCTGAACCTTGATCTCACACACCATCCTCATCCATTATGTAATGAATATATATTGGTGCTGCTTAGCTTTGTGTTTGGTGCCAAAAAATGGAAGTAGATCGTACTGTTTGATGACTGACACCACTTCGAGACACACAAAACATACTTGTCTTTTTCCTTGAAGCACAGCTTTCCATCTTTCATACAACTGGCTTCATTCTGAATAAATTTATCTTTTCCTGTACATTTTTGCAACAATACAGTTATTCAGAACTGGGTATGGGAAATGTAGTATATGGTCAATGTTGACTTTTAAGCAGCACAAAAGCAGCAACTTCTGTGTTCACCATCTCCACCAGAACAGTGAGATGTTTCCCCACTAACAAACCCTGGATCACCTGAAGGAACTGCTAAACAAGAAAAGGAGCCTTCATTTCATCTGCTGTCTGGGTAAAGCAGATGAAATGCTGTTAAAACACAGAATGTTTATGTTTTTTGCATATCTACATAACAAACCCCACTGGACCATTCACTCACCCAGTACACACTTTTTGCCCCACTCCCCTCAGGAAGGAGGTTGAGGAGCATTACGTGTAGAACCACTAGACTGAGGAAAAGCTTCTACCCTGAGGCTGTTAGACTCATGAATCTCTAACCAGACAAGTAAGTAAAGTAAGTAAAAGTTTATTTCTATATCACCTTTCACAGACATATTGATCATAAAGTGGTTCACAAAGGCGAGACAATAAATAATAATAATTAAAAAAAAAACATTAATTAAAAGCCTGTCAAGTAAAAATGTCTTTAGTTGTTTCTTAAAAGAGTCTGTGCAGCGTAGGGACAGAGGGAGGGCGTTCCAGAACCTCGGAGCCACTGCCCAAATTGCGCGGTCTCCACAGGTTTTAAAATGGGTTTGGGTACATATAACATTTGACTCGAAGACCTCATAGTCCTAGATGGAGTTAAATGATCCAAAAGGTCAATAATGTTTTTAGGAGCCTGGCTGTGGATAGCCTTGAAAGTTAAAACCAGCATTTGAAAGTTAATCCTCAAGTGCACAGGAAGCTAGTGCAGGGAGGCAAGAACAGGAGTTATATGCTCTCTTCTGTCAGTTTTAGTCAGCAGCCTTGCTGTAGCATTCTGTACAGATTGAAGGCAAGCCAGGGAGGTTTAATTAAAACAAATAAAAAGACTATTACAATAGTCTAAGCGCGAGGAAATAAAAGCATGAATAACTGTCTCTAGCTCAGTCTGTGACACAAAAGATCTCAACTTAGAGATGTTCCTTAAATGATAAAAACAATTATGGTAAATGGACTGTACTTATATAGCACCTTTCTATCTTATTGAGATACTCAAAGCACTTTACACTACAATCTGTGCCCTCATTTACCCATTCATACAGCACTCTACTAGATCTCTACAAAGCTAATTGAACAAATCATTCTAAAGCGACTACTCGGTGCTTTAGATCACATTCATACATTGATGGCACACACACATAGGAGGCAACAAAGTGTTCAGTGTCTTGCCCAAGGACACTTCGGCATGTGACTGATGTGGGGTTCGAACCCCCAACTCTTGTATTGGAAGACGACTGCTCTAGCCACAGCCACCCACAGTTCAGAACAAGAATTTTACAATGCTTGTCAAAAGACAAAGAACTATCAAAAATTACACCCAAATTTGTGACACTAGTTTTCACAGTAGGAGCTAAAGACATGAGACGTTGTTTCACTATAATGATGTTTTAATTGAAGATTTGACACTTTATCTGTGCTGCTGATTATCCATGCTGCTGATTTCTTGCCTTTAAGCTGCTGTATTCATCTGTTCACTACAGACTCATGTTCAGGCTGCTGTTTAATACACAGTTTTATTTTACATTATTATTGTTTAGTGTATATCTTAAATCCTTTTATATTGTTTCTTTTTATACTTTATATTTTTGCTATTTTGGGGTGTAACTGTGACATTGAGTATAAAATTCTGTTCCACCTCATGTACCACATGTGATGAAAATGACAATAAAGAACCTTGAACATCGAATCTGGAACCAAACAGTTAACTAACATGATATTTTAGTTCTAAGGTGGAAGCGCGTTCTCTTACATTACACCATTGTGTCACATCATATCTGATTTTACATCATTTTCATCCATTTTGCAACATATATTGCCTGTAGATGTTTGAACATTTGAGCAGAGCTCAAAAGAAATAGGAGCAAACTGAGCTAAATATTGAGAACTGAATACTTTTGGTATTGTGATATACAGTATCAGATTTTATTGGTGAATATGTAGTTTCAAGTGTTGAGTTGGTTGATGTCTACCATCTTGTGTAAAATCAAATTTTGTGAAAATGCATTTACAGGACTGTACTGTACAGTATATTTTAACCATTCTCTGTTTTTTGTTGTTTGTTTCATTTTGTATTTTATGGGTTACACTTTATTGTTCTTGCTCTGTTGGAGTGCAGATTTAGCCACATGTTAGTTAGTGTACCTTTGCAAAAAAAAAAAAAAAAGGAAAGAAAAAAGAAAGACATTTTTAAAATATAAGGCTTTGTTTTATGATGCAAGGAACCAAATTTTAGCTGTTTGCTCGACTACGGACCAATTTCACAGAAGCACGGAATGACTTGGAGCGGTACACACATGGAGGAACACACTGGTGAGTTTTTACATTTATTAATCGAGAAATTTGTGTTTAATATATGTGTTTCAAAGTTTCGGCCGAGTTGCAGAGGTGAGGTCTGATGGCAGGAAAGCCTTCCTGGATTCAGAAAGCTTCCTCTCATCCAGCGTGCTCCATTACAACAACATTAGCCTTAGCTGGGCACGAGCCGCTGTTTCTGGCCCCTGTTTAAAGATCGTACAAAAAGCAACATTCAGTCACCTCCATGTTCTTACTTTGACCCCACACATTTAAAGCATCATCAAGTTTGTGTAAATTCAGCTTTGGGTTTTAAAGACATTAACTTTAATGCACTTTAACACACAGCGTCAGGTCGGCACTATTTGTGTAATTTGTGTAACTTTAAATTGTCCCTAGTGTGAGTGAGAGAGTGAATGGTTGTCTCGTTTGTTTCTGTGTCCCTGTGATGGACTAGAGACATGTCCACGTGTCCCCCGCCTCTCAAGCAGTGATTGCTGGACTTGGGCATCTACCCATCCATCAACCCATGGCAATCGGTGCTTTAATTTACACAATATTAGATCTTTGTTACCAACAGCGCCACCTGGGACTTTCACCCAGGAAATCAATGAACACACAGGTTCGTTTGCAATAAGTAGGAGACAGTTTTTCATGTTAGGGATAATTTATTAAAAAACAAAATAAAAGTAAAGAAATACCTGTACGTGTATAAAAATGACAAACTATAAAATACAGTTGGCGAGGCTTACCCAGGTTCTGGATGGAAGGCTACCAAATTAGAATCACTACAAACACCCGTGAACTCACACACACTTGTTGAATCCCTCCACTGAGGAGACACCACCATTCTGGCCACATGCATTTCCGTCGCCAACCTGTAGAGGAAGAATAAAATAAATGAAAATAATAGTAATTAAAAAAAAAGGAAATAAATACACAAGTTACTAGGGGTGGGCGATATGGCTCAAATATAATATTGTGATATTTCAGAGCATTCTGACGATAACGATAAATTTTGTGATCTAACCCATAAAAACCCCCAGAAATCAGTTATTCATTTGACAAAATTAATTCAAAAAGCGTTCAATACAAAAACAACTGGACTTTATTTGTAAC